CACATTGAAAACTAGACTGCTCTGTTTCATGATTGATTAAATATTATTATATGTCAATGATCACCAACATAGAATAGAACGAAACTTTTTCTATAATAACAATTTTTCCAATAATTGAGATATGATTGGAAGTTTGTCTAGAACTTTAGTTGTTCTTTCAACACTTGTTTGTTATACTGTAAAATGAGAAAATGAAACTAATAGATTTGTCATTTGTGGTCATTCACAGATAGAATATAGATCATACACCATGTGTAAAATAATGATGCCTATGACTTAATCTTGTAGATCATCAAAAAAAAACATTTCTTTCTTTTTCTAGGATAAATTATTTAATCTAAAATGTTTCTCATTAAAATCGTTCTTTCGATTTAAACAATATGATAAAATTGTATCACTTCTTCGTCGTATGTCAAATCTGGAAAAATTAACTTTATATCTTCCTATAAAAGGTCGAAATAGAGTTATTGATGGTACTTATGTTCAACATGATATTTTGGATTATATGCCACAACTTCATTCATTCATTTTCTATATTTGTACTTATGTGGAAACGGTTGATTTATCCTACAAGTTCTCTAGTGAAGATATTCAACAAACATTAACAAATATTGGACAACAACATGCCATTAGTATGGTCAATTATATTCATAGTCACAGAGCTGCATGCTCAATTTTCTCACTTCCTTTTCAATTTGATTATCTCAAAGATCTTGGCAATAAATTTCCAAATATTCTATTCAGTTATGTTACGCATTTACTTGTGCAAGATACTGATCCATTCGAACATGAATTCTTCATGCGAATTGCCCGATCGTTTCCATTACTGAAACATTTACGTATTATTAATGTAGAACCACAGGTATTAGATGGTCTTATGACATTTTCATCTGACAATTGTCAATCACACTCAATTATTGAATACCTCCATCTGACTATACTTGATGTCCAATATGCACATAGAGATTATGTTGAACAATTTCTAAATGAAACAAAGGCATACATACCTTGTCTGACGGAATTTGAATTCTCTGTTGATCATTTAAAAGCTGTAACAAAAGACTTTACAAGAGAAGAAACACGACGCAATTGTGCTAAGGTGAAAAAAATATTTACGCTAGATTCATTGGTACATTCAAAAGATTTTTGTCTTTATTTTCCTTCGATGTATTAGTAGATGTATTCTCGTTTTCATTTATTCAATAAACTGAAAAACATGATAAATATTGTATTTATAGGCTAATAATAGTTCTCAAATATAAAGAAATATCAACTATTAATGATCGTTTCTCATTTTTATAAAAAAAATCACACAACATTTTGTGATGCTGCAGAGTTATATGTAAAATGAAAATGCTCCTTCCGCAATTGTTTGAAGACATAGAAAAAGATTTGATTTCATTTTAAATGTAAAAATAGTTCTTACTTTTTCAATCTAACTCAAATTAAAGAATAAATGAGCATTAATTTGTGATCGCATTCGATCTGAAGTTCAAAACAATTTCAATAATTGGATTTGATGTATGCGCGATATCAAGTTGTTATCCGCCTCAGTTAACATAAACTCCCTTTCTTGGAATCAGACTCATCTTATAATTTTGAACGAAATGAAATTACTTCAAAGTATACTAGCAGAAAAAATAACATCTTTAACTTGCTGCGCATTTTTAATATACTATCAGGTCAATGAATGTCAAAATATTTCATCTTTCTATTAATTATCTTATGTTATTGATATATTCTATCTAAGAGAATTCATTGAAATGTAATAGAATATATAATTATTACAAGGTTTTATTACACTTTTCTTATCGAGATATTTTCAATTTAGACTTCAACAAATCTCTAGATTTCGACCAAACTAACCACACTCTGTGCTTCTATCATTTTGATAATATTCACTTTTTCAGTTTAAGTAAATAAAAACAATG